CGCAGCCCACAAACACCCGCTAAAAAACAGGGTTAGGGTTAGGGTAAGGGTTTTTGTCCCACTTTCAATTCCCATCCCACTGAGCAACGTTTTCATTACTTTATTGATTACTAACCACCAGTAACTTGCAAAGGGACATGACCATAAGTAATATTTACCTGTGGCCCCTCTGCTAACTCGTCCAAAACGAAAAGAACATCTTTTTTCCAGGTACCGATAGTTCCTTCTGCTAGCACCCCCTCCGAGGCCCCATGTCCTGTGTAGTCAAACCTGGGAAAACATAAATAGAACAGCCCACGGCCATGAGTATCAGAGGGTAAACAAAGGCGAGCCACGAGAGGCCAGGGACAAAGTTAATTTTGATTTTATTTTTTTAGACATTATGAGAAGAGTAAATCAGTTATATATACTACAGTGAACATGGGATTAGGCCTTTGAGTATTCAGTATGATTAAGCCATGTCTTTTGATATCCAACCTCGATGGGAAATGGATTTGCAGGACCACAAGAGGTTTGAATGTATTTAAAAGTCACTACTTGATATAACTCAGTTACATTCAGAGGCACATTTTGTGGAAGCAAACTCTACTCTACATAACCAAATACACTACAGTTTATTTTGTATGTAGGTTATCTTGGGGCATAAAGCTACTTGGAAACTAAATCAGTATTTACAAGCACAATTTAACCAATAATTATAGTACGACGCTTAATCACATTTTCTGTTGTGTCCCTATTTCACAGTGACACAAACTGTATTGTCTTTTCAGTAACTGTCCCGCAAAAATAAAACTCCTTCCTTCTAATAATTATCTCTGTAAATGAATGACTTTAAAAGGGGGTGTAACTGTGGGTGTGTGGTGGATGCATGCATCTTGTCCACTTTGTGCATTTAATTTCTTCAAAATCTGAATGAATAGACTTTAATCGGATTTAATGCTGACCACAAAATTTGTATTGTTTTGTAGTTAATACAGGCGTTTTCCCACCTTTCAGAGCTGTAAACCAAGACCATTATTACCTAGGACCATAACTCTATATATGTGCTCTGTCTATTTATTGTGATTTATTCTGTATTTAGAATGAAATTATGAGCATTGCATAGTCTTGCATCCCTTTTTAAGACATATTTGGATGACTCACCTAAGGTATGAGTGTCCTAGTGACCTACAAAACTCCTCCAGTGACTCGGCTTTCTGCCCATTCATGTTGGACCCATATCCAGGGAGGAAGACCACACCTGGACTCTTCCCCTTCACTCTTCTGTAGGCCAGCTTTGGGAGGTCTGGTCGTGAAGCATACTGGACTGTGGACTTGTGTCTCCTGTCTCCTGGTTGACACAGTACAAAGCATTATTGTTCATGGCAAAAACACGTTATGCAACTCATTCAATAAACAGTACATTGGCTTAATGACACACACAACATGAATGCAATTTCACACCCCATTTTGTGGGTTAAGGCTTCTCTTGACGCAAATTAGAAACCCGCACATGGGAGACGGCATGGGTGCTTTTTTTATTTAACACATCGACAAAACAAACAAAGAATGTAGGCACAGTCAAACACCTGGGGTAGGCTAATAAACGTCGACGCGTTTTAAAATACTACGAGAATCAACGCAGACGACGCAAAAACAGCCACAAGCGCAAAGGCAGCGCCGTTTACAAGCTCTACATTTTTAAGACGACGCAGTCTGGGTGCGCCACACCCCCCTCTCTGCCTTTAAATAGCCTTGTTTTAAACTCATGTCGGGTTAAATTCACTGTGCCTAAAGCGGAGACTTGTACAAACCTTCCAGACGCTTTGAAGACAAAGCTGCGAGCCCTCCATTACTTAATATGTGTGAAAGTCCTCTGCGGCAGGACCTCAGCGCGACGGCTGCCATACTGCTCCGCGACCCACTGAGGACGTATCGCGAGAGTAGCGCCAGTGAATCTCGTTGACTCAGAGCTGATCAATTGTAGTCCAGATTACACGACTACAAAAAGCAATGTTAAAATACTCTATTACAAGTCCTGCGTTCAAACTTTTTAGCAAAGTATTATTTTAAACAAGTAGCCATTAAAGTATTAAAATAAAAAGTGTTCATTATGCACCAGAATGGCCTTTGTTATTGTTATATTATTGCATTTCTAAATAAATATGTATGCAGCATTTTATTGTTATAGCTAGTCGAGGAGCTGATTTGTTTTATATACTGTTGGGCAGTTTAATGTTCACAATTAATCATTTATTATACAATGACCATATATTTTGTATGCAAAATCTTAATCTGCAAAATCACTATAGCTGTCAGACACAGAGTTGTTTGCTGTTAGCAATTATATGATAACATTATTGTCCTTTTTTATGGCTAAAAACACATTTTATTGTAGTTTGTTCTTACTCATACTCAAATCCCAAACCACCACAATATCTATAATGTCAGCCAAAATAGTGGTATTATTATTAGCATAACAAACCTAGAGGTATAGAGTAAATAAAACCCTTATAGGACTCAGATACTTAGTTAGTCTAGCTGAATGTTTCATACTTCATTTTAACATTTTATAGATAGTGGTAGAACAAATTTCACATCCTTTTTTTAAGTAACAGTAGCAATACCTGCATCCTAAATATCTCCTGTAAAGTTTAGAGTGTAGGCATATATTATTGTTAATAATGATGCATTAATGTTGTAGCTGGTTGAAGTGGGGATAAATATACTATTACTAGGACTAAAATGCATCACATTTGTATGAGTTACATTTGAAAGTGTGATTTTAAACTGTACATTTTAACCTTAATATATATTTATATATATATATATATATAATCATATGTTTTTATCTGTAGTGCAATATTTCCCTCTGAGATGTAGTGGAAGTAGAAAGTAGCATTATAATTGAGTAAATGTATTTTTTGAAGTCCAGCTCTGTCCTGGGCTGCCCTTTGGACTCAGTGAGGGAGGTGGGTGACAGGAGAGTCCTGGCTAAAGTGTCATCCATGCTGGGAGCATGATGGACAATGCAGTCCCACCCCCTGGCGGTGACCCTGAACAGAAGCTGAGGGAGCAGCGGTTCAGTGAGCAGAGTGCTTACCTCTGTGTGTGAAGGAAAGATCAGAAGGTGGCTTTGCGCTTCCTGCTGCTGTTGAGGCTGTCACAACGAACACTCTTGATGATGTGCAACAGTGCATACAAAAAAACAACTGTTATTTGTATTTCTTTATTCTGGTCCTTTTGTATAACTTTGAGACGAATGGTTCCCGCACTTGTGGCACTGTTGCAAACTGCAATTTCCCCATTGTGGGACAAATAAAGGTTTTCTTATCTTATCTTATCTTATCTTATCTTATCTTATCTTATGAAAGGAATCATTAAATGTTGATGTATACCACTGATAAAGCTGTGATTTATTTCAACAGGAAGATGGAGACCCATAGCCAACAGAGGAGGGAGCTGCAGGAATAATATTGCCTCAGGTGAGAAAAACATAAATTAAGCTTGTTAGAATCTTTGTGTTAAATATTTGTGTACCATTATTTTCGTAACTGGTAATTAGGTCCAGTGTGTAACATTTAGGATGATCTATTGCCAGAAATGGAATATAATATGCATAACTATGTTTTCATTAGTGTATAATCACCTGGAAATTAGAATCGTTATGTTTTTGTCAACTTAGAATGAACCGTTTGTATCTACTGTTGCCGCGGGTCACCTTCCATGAAGGCTGCAATGTTTCTACAGAAGCCCACTGGGTTCGAGTTATAATCTCAGTTTTGTGGGGGCCTTGTAGGAAAATATAAATAATAACCCAATGGGTGCACCAAGAATGAGAGAGACTTCACTGCTCATTACGTGGTCCAACACATTCACACACACACACACACACAGTCCACTAATTGCAACACTTGTATTAAGTAGATTGCAATAACCCTAACTGCCCTGAAATATTGCAACAAAGTTACAATAGCCTGAAATATGCCAAGTGACACCCATCACTCATAGGAAGAATGCATTTCCGCCCTTCATGGTATCATATGAAAGTGGGTGTTATTATTTTACACACTGTTGGCTGCATATGCACAGTACCCTATCCTAAGTAGTGCTCCACTAGTATGAAAATACTAGAAATAGAACGTAAGCAGTCAGATAAATAATACTATTAACATTACATTGAAAAAAGCCTTATTTGTGATTAAAATAATGGCTGTTGGTAATGTATAGCGACCCTCACACATGTATGGTTTTACTGCTTTCATGGTAGCTCACACATACCTCGACCAATGGTAGCCCAGAATAGACAACCCAATACCCAACCCCAACTCTGGACCTTTAATCTCACAATATTTAATAAAGTTATTCAATCTAAATCATTGGATGAATATTCCAGAGTGATACAGGTGATCAAATGTGAGACCTGCTCCTTGGGGAACCAGACTCATCATTCTGGACTGTGCTGAGTCATGCAGTGCCAAATTAAAAGGGGTCGTTTCTGATAGACAACACATAACCCAGCCTTTACTGCACATAAAAGTGGTTATGTGAGGTTATACAGCCCGGATTGAAAATGTGTCTTTATCTGACTTTCCAACAGCCATTTTAACGAGGCTGTGATGTCTGTTGGTCGTAATGTGGTCCTTTATTTTTCTTTTCCACACGGGCAAACTGTCAGGGTGTAATCATTCTGTCCTTTCTCGTCCGTGATCAGTCCAACCTCTTGTGTCATTACAGACACTACTCCACTAGCTGCGACTGCTGAGTTTCTATACTGCTCATGTTTGTCTACCATTTGCAGCAGAACTAGACTTTAAAAATAGTGAAATTAATTCCACAAGAATGCATTCCCCTTAAAACAATGATTTTAATTATTTTTTTTACCTTAAGCAAGCTGATACAAGTTTCCAGAAATACTCAATCACCATTACCCACAGGACATTAAAATAATTGCATGTAATATCTAACTGAGAAACTGAGTTTTAAAAGTACATAGTCAAGGCTTAAAGTGACTCAATACCTCCATCATGTGGAACAGATGTATAAATAACTTCAAGTGGGTAAAGCTTTTCAGAAGAGAAGAAAAATATGTTTTCCAATTTACTGAATTTACAGAGTGTCCTTTATGATGGAGGAAAGATTCTTTTCTAATGGTGAGATAAATTAATCCACAAAAGCAGACAGGTGAAAGAGGTAAAACTGCCGATACTGGCAACAATGTGTCTGCCCGAAGGATGTCTGAGGCTTTTATGTATTTCTGATAATGGGTAAAAAGGAAACCTTTCTGTGAATGATGATCAAGGGCGTCATGAATAATACCTTTGAAAGACAGAGTTGGGTCTTGGTGAGTTCAGTTTAAAAAACTATCGCCATTTAAGGTTGTCTTCAACTTTTATTTGCATAACCAAATTCAATTATGACCTGTAATGATCCATAATAAGAATAGGTTATATGTGAATCCTAAAGGGCAGCCATCTTTTCTCTTATTCCTCTTAGCCTACTGCCTCTTATTGTAAGGGATGCAGTTGTTCCTCAGCTTCCATCAGCTCATCTGGCTGTCATGTGTGGGCTCATTTGTGCCTCAACTGGAGAAAACACTGAAACTTGAAACTGATGGAGGTTAATCAGAGAACACTTTGTTGACATCCTGACAGAAGTGTTTTTTCTAAATCTATTTGCAGTCATCAGCACCAGAGTACACTTCTTCTCATTCATTCCCTTAAAGGTCCAGTGTGTAACATTTGGGAGGATGTATTGTCAGAAATGGAATATAATATGCATAACTATGTTTACATTAGTGTATAATCACCTAAATATAGGAATCGTTATCTTTTTGTTCCCTTAGAATTAGTCTGTTATATCTACAGATGCTGTGAGTCACCTTCCATGGACTCCACCAAGAAGAGACAAACAAACTGAAACACTAGCTCCAGATGCGTTTTTGGTGTGTTTCGCATCCACAGTAGTTTTCTCTTGCACTTGGAAGGGGAGGGTGCAACTACACAGCTAAATGCCACTAAATCCTACATTCTGGACCTTTAAAAATAATTGCTTTAACAGCTGTACAATACAGTAATGTTTTAAAATTCAAACATGCAGCAATTTAATATATTTACTGCTGAAGTTGAGCAAAATGCAGTAATACTAACAGTTGTAATACTGGGATTCTTGCTGTAGATTGGACACAATATGACCCTTTGACAGGGCTTGTGTGGCAGCACGAGATACGGGTGCAAAAGGAGTCCCTTTAATGAGGCAGGGTGAGAGATGGGAAGAGGCCGAAAGACAGATTATGTGGAGGTAGAGTGTCAATGAGCTGGACGGAGAGAGCAGACGCATGCTGGATGGCGAGCTGTCGATAGACACCTAGACAAGCAGTTGTCCAGTCTCTGTGCAGCCATAACAAGCTGTATAGCCTCACCTCTTCCTCCCCTTCCAGTTCCCCTTTGGCCTCGGCTGGGCCTGCTGTCTGGGGCCTGGGTGCCTGAAATCCTGGTAATAACGGTGGCATTGATCGCTGTGCCTGGGATGGCCAATTACAGCTTCCATAGCATCTAATGAGGAGCAATCGCTCCAGTGGCAATTACTTCAGCTGTATAGTGCCCCGGAACTGAGATGGAGCTGCGAACACAAGGGAAGTGCAAGTGAGACAAATACAGAGTGCTGCTATTACTACTGCACACATACATAAACACACACATAGGTACACATCTCACCTCACAATTCTAATGTGCAATCCGTGCAATTAAGGTAAAAAATACAGTTGAGAACAGTAAGGTTATGTCGTATATTTCTATGGGATTTGGGAGGGGATTCATTCCCTGAGATGGAGTTTTTACATTTTAAAATGACAGAAATATTAGACTTTTTTTTATTTTATTTTTTTTAGGATGATTATGGCAGCTTTTTTGTCTAAATATATTTAACATTGACAGTTTTACTGGCAAAAGTATAAATACAT